GGAAATAGAGAGAGAATTATAAATAGCTGAGTTGATTTAGCCATGTCCGTCTGTCCGTCTGTATTAGCGAACTAGTCCCTCAGTTTTTGAGATATCGATCTGAAATTTTGAACACTTCTTTCTCCCAAGAAGCTGCTCATTTGTCGGAACCGCCGATATCGATCACTATAGCATATAGCTGCATGTAAACTGAACAATCGGAATCAAGTGTTTGTATGGAAAATTTTTCATTTGACGAGGTATGTCACAATATTGTCATGAGTTTTGCTAGAAGAAGTAATGCAATCTCGAAGAAATTGTTTAGATTGGATCACTATAGCATATATCTGCCATACAAACTGAACGATCGGAATCAAGTACCTGCATGGAAAACGTTTTCATATGACGAGTATGTTCACAATATTTAGCATGAGTTTTGCTAGAAGAAGTATTGCAATCTCCGAAGAAATTGTTCAGATCGGATCACTATAGCATATATCTGCCATACAAACTGAACGATCGAATCAAGTACTTGCATGGAAAACGTTTCATTTGACGAGGTATGTTCACAATATTTGGATGAGTTTTTGATAGAAGAAGTAATGACATCTCGAAGAAATTGTTCAGATCGGATCACTATAGCATATATCTGCCATACAAACTGAACGATCGGAATCAAGTTCTTGCATGAAAACGTTTTCATTTGACGAGGTATGTTCACATATTTGGCATTAGTTTTTGCTAGAAGAAGTAATGCAATCTCAAAGAAATTGTTCAGATCGGATCACTATAGCATTATATCTGCCATACAAACTGAACGATCGGAATCAAGTACTTGCATGGAAAACGTTTTCATTTGACGAGGTATGTTCACAATATTTGGCAGAGTTTTGCTAGAAGAAGTAAGAATCTCCAAAGAAATTTTCACATCGGATTACAATAGCATATAGCTGCTATATAAACTGAACGATCGAATCAAGTTCTGCATGGAAAATTGTTCATTAGATAAAATATCTTCACGAAATCCGGCATTGATTTCTCTCAATGGCATATAGCTGCCATACAACTTACAATCTAAATAAAGTTCTTATATGAAAAATTATGACAAGTTATCTTCACGAAATATGGCATGGATGATGATTGTCCAAGATATCAGCTACAATTTTCGAACGAACTGTTCATATCAGACCAATATATTAAACAGCTATCATAGAAACTGACCGATCAAAATAAATTTTTGTATGGAAGTTTTAGTATGGATTATTGCTTAAGATGTGACTTCAATCTTCGAACGAATTGTTAAGATCGGACCACTATAGCATACAGCTGTCAGATTTAAACACTTTATAAATAATATATTATAAAAAATCAGAATAATTAATTATTTATACTGTCCAATTTGAGCTTTCAATAAAATTATCTTATATCTGCCAAAACTGTTTTGTTGTGCCAAAAGTAAGGTGTAGATGTAGCTAATTGGGACAATAAGTTGAAAATGTGTTAAGAATAATACATAAGAGTAAGGAGCAAAATATTATTTAATTAACCATTAAATAAACAAATCTCTAATTATTCAAGATATATTATTATTTATTAATAATAATAGAGAAATACCTTTGTAAAGATAATTATTCAGTTTTAAAACCCTAATTAACTGATGGGTAGGTACAAACCAAATCTAGGTAGAATAATAGGTAGGAAATAAATAGTTCGAAACGTAGGTAGAAAACATAACCTAGGTAAAAAAAACCTCGATAACACCCCTTTTGTAGTTAACGCCTCAATATTTCAACTAAAATTACTTGATCAAATTTGGCATGGATTATTGGCCACGGTAACAATAAAATAGGGGGGTCAGGGGCACACTGCCACATAATTATTCAGATTTATTTTTATTAATCGAGTTTATTTTAAAAACATTGAAATAAGTATGAATTCATGTGTATTTATATTTTTACGTATATTATTATTATATTACAAAAATAAGACATAAATGCATCAGTATTTTTCAATACAAATTAAGCAACATAATAATTACCATGGGTCCTCAGTTGAAACACCGCTGTGTATGGGTGCAAGCTAACGATATAACGGCGAGTTCGCGCGGACATTGTTGTGTTGAAAAAAACGAAAAGACGACTTTCTCGACAAACATACATATATACATACACGCATACATATTGACACTAAATTGTTTGTATGAGGTAAAATGGGCTAAATCGAAAAACTATGAAATAATGACAATAAGTAAACATATAAAAGTATTATATGGAGTGTGCTTAGAATATATACAAGTAGTTAAAGATTTCATATGAATGACAGTTTTATATAAATTTTATAATTTAATGTCATATATAGTGAATTATATGAAATAAATTAAAATAATATTTCAAGTCGCTAATAGACCGAGTTGTCAATTCTCCTTTCTGAAGGGAACATCAGACAAATTCTTTAATTTCCGATTTTTTAGCAAATGTTGTGAGGAAGCAGCTTGTGGGCAACATGCAAATGCGAGGGGATGATGGTAGGTAGGATTTTCAGTGGTCAAATTTGTAATATACAATTTTTCTCGTTTTACTGAATATTGAATATCCTTCAAATCTCACTATCTTTGTAACTATTATTTATACGGTTATTATTAAGATCATATTAGGCACAATTTTATTTATTAATTGGCTAGATGAGTGACGGCTCCTCCTCAACGCCAATACACCACAATCCACCCATTAAGACACCACACCAACACCAACAACCAAAACGGACTGCTCAAGGACCTTTTCGTTTGCATTTTTCGAGCCGTCAGCACGTCCGTCGCAGCAACACATGTCTTTTCGCTCGATTCCAGATTCCCTCGGTGTATAAAGTTGTGTTAATTTCCACCAAATAAAAGAGGTCGTCTTGATCTTACATCAGTTTGTCACGGAATAGGTCGCTTCTTTATTGAATTCCTTCTTATAGCTTAAACACAATATGGGCGACGGCGAATATTCGTCGTACTCGGCGATGCCGTCGGTGATTCGAACACACGATTGTATATAAAGATAAACACAATACGCGACGGCGGCTAACTTCGCACACCATGACGATTTTTAATTTTATCGCCGACCGCGGCGGCAAAAACGACATCACCATATCAAAGAAAGATTATTTTCAGTAAAAATATTAAGGATTTTCAAAAAAAAATGTAAGAAAATGTCGGTGTTGGCAATATTAAGATTGCTTATGTTTGTCTTCGTCATTTATTGTGATATTTTTGAGCGCTAAATATACACTAGGTACGACGAAAATCGTCCGTATTGCGTTTTACACGGCGGCAACACTCGGCGAAAATCCGTCCGACGGCGTGCTCTTAAATATACATTTGGTTAACGGGATATAGCATCACGCCATATGATACATATGTACATACATATATGGATAGTTGGGATGTTTCAATTTTACATTTATATTCAATACGCTAGAGTGGAATGACTAGTCTACAAATGCAATGCTAAAAGAATGACACAATTATGCGGTTCATTCAGCATTCAGCATTCAGCAATCAGCTGACTGGCATTGGTGTGTGTCGTTGCTAATTATGACTGGACAGGATAATGAAATAGGACAGGACTGCATTCAAATGTACTTAAATCTTGAACAGTCGGTGTTACCAAAATTTATAACAATTTTCATTATTTTTTATTTTGAAAGAAACTAACTTTAAGGACTGTTTTGTGTCCACTTGTTTTTAATCGATCAATAGGGATAGCACTCACTTCACTAGGTGAAAATATTAATCAATAATTTTATACTTTTTATCAGTCATTACAAAAAAATTAAAGTTTTAGTACGACCAAATTAGATGTGCTCTTGTTGGAGTTTCGAGTAAAAATGAACGATTCGAGAAAACGTTGCACAAACAGTAAAGGGTGAATTTAAATGAAAAATATTTGAAGAAAATTTTTAAATTCCAACCGTGATAAGAAGATAACTAAAAACTGAATTTTTATTTCATTTCCCGCAGACATCACAAGAGTCATAGCTCTATTAGATGGTAAGCTTATAATTGACCACAGCATAACAAAAGTAAAGGATTTCCAAATAAAAAAAATAAGATTTTTTTCAGAAATTACAATTGCTCCTAATAATATTGTAAACAACCAAACAGTAATAGGAACCTATTTAATAACATTTGAAATTAGTATTGTAATCAGTAATAACCCTTATGAAAATATTGAAACAATTATGACAATATAGGTATTATAAAAATTGGAATTAATCGACAGCATCCACACAGCAGCCTTACCGTAACTGTAAGTAAACTTGTATCTTAACTTTTGTAATTATGCTATCGCATAAATAAAATCTTTATTAACGGTTTTTGTTTATCTAAGAATTCGATATTCTTTTAACGTTTTGAATGGAATAATCCATTCTTATCATAACATTACCCTAACATGAGGACAGAACAATAATAATTGTAAACAAAAAAGGACGCTTAACGTTCTGCCGGAATATGCTGAATAAGAAGAAAGAAGGGTAATTCTTATTCCATCAATCAAAAGAATCACACGTGTTCTTATTTCTTCTGTTTGTTCACCAAACGGTTATTTGTACCACCTAAAAATAATCGAGTTAGATAAAGAGTTATATACCATATATATAGGGTGGCTCACGAATCGTGCAACAAAAACAAACCGTAATAACTTTTTTCCTGTGCGAGTTATCGAAAAGAGAGTAGCGTAGCGGTACCATACTAGGCAGACCGTCGTTTCCGTCCAAAGGGAATTCAACGGTATTTTGGCGGCATTCTCCCTTGTAGATGGACAATTATGAGGTATGTATGTTTACTAGGGTGCTTTTTTTCTAACTTTTTTTTTTCGATCCCATGGTGAAGTTTTGCTGGAAATACCAAAAAAAAAATTCCCTGAAAGTTTGAGCTCTTAATATTAATAGTACGTACTAGACCAAGGCCTGTAAAGATGTAAACAAACAAAATTGCCATATATGGAATGAATCAAATCCAGAAATAATCCACGAGACGGAACTTCACCCAGAACGAGTCACTATGTGGTGCGCAGTTTCATCAAGGTGTATTGTCAGGCCATACTTCTTTGAAGAAAACGGTGTAACAATAACTGTAAATGGGCAATAGGATATTTAAAGATGTTGAATGAGTTTTTTATTCAGAACCGTCCCATACTTCTTTCAAGAAAACGGTGTAACAGTAACTGTAAATGGGTAATAGGTTATTTAAAGATGTTTAATTAGTTTTTTATTCAGAAATGTCCCGAAGACGTCTCCCTTTCAATAGCATTTGGTTTCAGCAAGAGGGAGCAACTGCACACATATCCAGATCGGTTGATGCGGAGCTCCAAAGAAAATTTGAAAACCAATTAATACCAAGAAACTCCAGTTTCCGCTTGCCCTCAACGTCACCTGACCTTACTGCACCAGACTTTTTTTATGGGTGTTGGGTCTCCGATTGAGAACCACTGCATTCTACGGTCATATGTTCTAATATATTTTTTGCTATTTCAATCCAATTCTCCTTTCTGAAGGAAACATTAGACAAATTCTTCAATTTCTGATCTTTAGCATCGTAGCGAGGCAGCAGCTTGTGGGCAACATACAAATGCGAGGGGAATGGTAGGATTTTCAGTGATAGAAATCGTAATTTTTCTCGTTCTACTGAAACCATTCAAATTCAATTTCATTCATTCATTTAAACTTAAATCTCGCGTTTTTGCTTTGGAATTCTATATGAAAACCAAATGTGGTTTACCAGGTGCACAGAAAAAATAGCGCGGCGCAGAGTAATGAACGAACGCACTTCGTTTTGTAGCATACGCGCGTAATATGAAATATTTAAAAAACATAGGACGAGCTTGCTTGAATGTAATTGGTCGATGATGGTGCGTCTACGTTTTTTTTGTCACTTGCGCGAATGTTTGATTTTTTGCGAAAGACATATTGAGGGACATACATACATACAAGTATGTACATATGTGTACATATATGCAAATGAAGAAAGGCAATTTCAAGAATATTCACAATATATAAAGGAAAATATTTGTAAATTTGGCTACAAACAACATGTGTATGTAGATACGCGACAAAGCGTCACAACATTGTTTTGTTGGTAGAAAATCCGAGATGTGCCGCAAAATAAACGAACGCTCGCCGATTGTTACCGCTTCCCTTGCCGCTCTAACAGCTTTACCCACAAATCATTGTAAATATGTATGTTTATATATGAGCATGCAAACATTTTTAGAATTGTAAAGTATTTTAAATCGACAAAAGCTTTGTTGCCACTTTTGCCACTTTTTTGTGTGTTTTGTGTGCTTGCAGGGCTGTCACTTTTCACTTCTAAAGGGAATCAGAAAGGTATTCAATTTATGATTTCTAGCTTTTGCCATCGAATAGCAGCTTTTATTTTACTTTTTGATGCGCGTAGCAAGCACTCTGTCACGAAAACAAAGTATATTTGGGTAATATGACTCTGCTCAGCTACTTTTGCGCAGATGCAATGGATTTTCCACGCATTAACCATTGCGGCATCGAATGAATCAGTAATAAACGGTCAATACTACTTTTTCCCGCGAATTCCGGTGTGGTAGTTGTTTATACCGTTATCGAAGAGGTCAACACCGCCTATAGTGCGATTGTACATTTGAATCATATTTAGTATGTTAATTTTAGTATTTTTGCGAAGTTTCCTATTGCATGGCTTTGTTTTGCCAATCGGAGTATGTGAGAGATGATTTGAGGGCATTGAGAGAGAGTTCCAACAAATAGCGAACACATTATTGTTTCGATCGCAACATGCATCAAAAGAGCCTTTTAATTTCTTGCTTATAAGATTTTTAGACACTAGTGCAGTTGCTGCATGAAAAATTGGTTTTTTGGTGACTTTACTACGCTTAGCTGCTTTAGGCTGTACCTTTGAGTACTCCTTTTCCTCTGCTTTAAAAACCATACGATTATCTCGAACTGTACCTGTTACGAGGAAGCCCAAGTATCTAAGACTAGCAATTAAACGATGTGATGTGAAGAAGTTCTCAAAAGTGATTATATGAAAGAACTAAAGATTCGCCTAATCCAAGACCCTACCTACGTTTTTCATTTGCACCAGCATAGGGTTCAAAGTAGTACAGGTATCCTGCCAAAAAGACGAAAGGAACGTAAACTTACAGGAGCAATGACAGCCAGTAGTATAACTCACCTTCGTTTGAGCATAGCTTTCAATATTTAAAAGCGAAGCGAATCGGCTTTCCTTTGATAAAGATCTTCAACTATGGATACCAAAATAATAACAATATGAGAACATAAGTATATCAAACTGCGACAATTCATCATATCGCAAACACGAAACACTTACACACATTACACTTTGGCATGTCCTTTCATACAGTCTTTTATGGAACAAAAATTGAGTGTTCCTAGGAAGTACTTGTTGTTTGAAATCTATTTGAAGTACTAGCAATATATACAGGGTGGCGCACGAATCGTGCTACAAAAACAAATCATACTTGTAATATATTGAAACAATTTGTTTTATATATTAATACATAAATAGTTTATTTAAAAAATTATGGACCGTAAATGATCCCTATGCTCGGCCACGTATATGCGACCCCTAATTAGAAAATTATGCATTATGGCTTGAAGGGTTGAAGTTGGGATTGCCTCGATTATCGATTTAATGGACTGCTTCAATTCAGTCAGATTTCTGGTTTGTGTCTTGAAATCCTCGTTTTTGACATAGCCCTATAACAAAAAGTATGGTGCAGTCAAGTTAAGTGACCTTGGGGGCCAGCGGAAAGTGGAGTTTCTTGATATTAATTTGATGTCAAATATCAAACGCTATTAGAAAGGATACTCCTTTAGCGTAGTTATGGGTAAAAAAACCCATTTAACATCTTTGAATAACATTGCACATAGGACACTTACACTTACACCGCTTTCTTCACAGAAGTATGGCCGTTCTGGGTGAAGTTCTGTCTCGTGGATTATTTCTCCTCGGGTGAGTGTCGCCACAATCCCGTCTAAATTCCCATTGGACGGAAATGACGGACAAGCATTCACTTCTAAAAAACCGAAATAATAACCTGCCAAATAAAAAACAAAGTAGGTCGATTGCTCACACAAAAAAAAGTTTTTACGGTTTGTTTTTGTAGCACGATTCGGGAGCCACCAATGTTTATTAAGGTATACTTTGAGGACACCTAGAGAAGACAAAAGTCTTATATGAAAATAGAAATTAGGTTTAATTTATAAAATAGACCTTTCTTAATATTGTTTAAAAACTATTTTCTCATTAATACAGCTTTTTAAAAAGCTACAGGTGTTTTAAAAATAAAATAAAAACAAGTAAGGAAGGGCTAATTTCGGATGTCGAGACACAAATAAGACCAAAAGAAATGGACGAAAACTGTATAGAGAGTGAGAACAAGGAAGACGGCTTCGTTTTCATTACTATTCTGCAATGTTTGCTGGTTCAGAAGTGACAACGGGAGACACCAGGTGGAGATGATATATGAGATCACTGATTGGTTGATAAAACTATACATAACAAGTAAGGAAGGGCTAAGTTCGGATGTAACCGAACATTTTATACTCTCGCAAAGTCAAATGGTATACTCGTTTTAGATTTCTTTGTGGATCTTGCCGCCTTTTTCTATGTTGACCGATATTTTCGGTAAAAAGTCAGCTATAGGCACTGGGGTCCACAAATTGGCATACTTTAAACGTATTATTCATGCAAAGTTTTACGTCGATATAATCATTGTGGCTTGATTTGCATAATAATAATAATAATAATAATAACCCAACGATTACCCTCCTCCCGCCTAAACGACGCAAGGGGCGCAATCCGCATACGTGCGGAATTAGCCGAGTCAGAAAAGGCAAGAGAGTTTATTAAGTTACAATATAATAAATTGTTACATTTTCATTTATTAAGAGAAAACAATAAAGTCTTTTTAATTTTGAAAAGTGAGTCAGATAAGTCAAATGTGCTGGAATGAGAATTAAAATCATGACATATACGGCGGAATGGCTCGTTTAGTTCAAAATTTGATCTACAGGATTTTAGCAGTAAAGGTCTTAACTGCTTCGAAAAGCGAACCGGGATATTAAATTTAATTTCAGACAGGAGAAAAGAACTGCAAACTGTTCCATTCAAAATTTTTACTAAGAATATTATGCCTACGACTAGAAATTGTAGGTAGATTAATAAGTTTTAAACGACTAGTGTATGGAGGTAGACTTACCCTAAAATCCCATCGGAAATGCGCTAAGGCGAAAAGTAAAAATTGTTTTTGAACAGACTCTAACTTGTCAGAATGGATTTGGTAGCTAGGGTTCCATAC